GCAGCTCTACGCTTAGCTGGAGGCAGCGCGGCCTGTAGCGTCAGGTGCTCCAGCAAGTGGAATTTGAACTCTCGCCTGCATTTCGCGCACTGGACACACACGATCTCCGCAGAAAGTTGCACTTTCGGTTGACGTTGTTCGTCCCGCCCTCCGCGTTAAGAGAGAATTTACAAAGGGGGAAATGTTTTTTCATTAGGACATCTCGCGTGCTTGTTTTCCAACTCACACTTGCCTCTCATTGCATGCTTGCATGCTCAAAGCATGCTTGCGTACCCATCACTTGCATACTTACACTGCGTGCTTGCCGAGTGTCAGTGTGTAAAGTGTTAGTGTGTGTAGTGCGAATGTGGTGGAAGTGTGAGTGTGTAAGTGTAAGTGTTCAAGGGATTTTCCAGACAACCCTTCGCAATGCTTTCGGGAAAAATATTCTGGGTTTTTGATCGATTTAGGTGAATGGCAGAAATTAGGTTCCAAGATTACGTAATTTAGGTCGCTTGTAAATTATAAAATTTGATTTTTGTAAAAAGATACAGGAATTTGAGTCATTATGAGTTGCTTATGTCATCAGAAGTACATGCGTCTTGCGTCATAGGTATTGGAGTTCTTCCTTGGCGGCAAACACTTGAAGAGCATGGGAAGCCTTATGTACTGGAGAAGCCAGGGGTACAATCACATTGGCGAAGCTGTTTCACAAATTTTTTGTAGAGAAGTCCGCAGTTCCTTAAGAAACATAATCTCAAGTACATCATCCCCCTTAGACATGAGTTCCTTTTTCCTCATGTTTGTCAGTCTTCCAACGCGTGTTACCTGAAAGGCCGCTTTTGGGAACCTTCTCAGCCTCAGGAGGAAACAATCTGCCAGTCTTTGTCCATTTCAAATTTGAAATTGTTGATTCCCTCTGTTTGAACCCAGCCGTGGACCTAATTCAACCATTGCCATCAGCTATTTATCCTTGCCAACACACGATTTATTTAGTGAAAAAAATCTGGTTCGATACGTCCTTCAAGGCTTGACTTTTCATCCTCTTCCTTCTGCCTTCTCAGCCATTGTATCTCAGCTTCTCCGCAGAACGTTGCGCGGGCGGGCACAGGTCATAACGATAACGCCAACCCTCCTATTTAGACCTTTAAATTTTTGATTAGCGGTGTCGCCTATCGAGTTTAGACCACGAATTTACACTTCACAAGGTTTGATTCGTATTATAAAATCTTCCGTTTTTTTTCGCGACTTTTGAAGGTTAATTCCTTCGTTTTATAATTTTGTAAAAGGGAGGTGTATTTTCCCTTTTTATAATATTATTACAAAGGTGTTTTTGTCTTTCTATAACATTGTTTGAAAGTAAATCCTTTTTTCTAATTATGCAATCTTCCATATCCTTCCTTAAAACGAATTAGAATCTCTTCTTCCAATTCTCTCGCTAATTACGAGACCTTCCGACACTTTTTCATACGAAAATATATATAAAAACAAAATTATCAAAATTCAAAATATATAAAATTTAAAAAAAAATTAAATCAAAGCATTAGAAAAAAATAAAAAAATCTAAAAAAAAACCCAACAAATTCTAGGTTTTCAAATTTACATAAAACATATAATAAAATATATCGATCTTCATAACATTCAATCGAACATTTTCATTTAGCGGAAACCTCAATTTACATAATCAAAAAATTTATTTAATTCCGTTCATACACGATAATTTTATATAAGGTAATCAGAAATAATATAAAAACATAATATTAATATTTAACGCTTATATACAATTAAAAAACATCTTAATATAATTTTTTGTTTTTATTCTCTTCCTTTTAATTAAATTAAGTCGTAAATAATATATTTCCTCCTAAAATTTTAATTTTTTTTAAATTCCTATTTTTTCTTTATCATAATATTAAATTTTATAAAACTAAAATAATTATATAAATATATAATAAAATATATAAATTTAATTCGTCCAAAAGCAAATTATTATACAATATAATTACTATATATATAATATATTTAAAAATATAAATACAAAAAAACAATATTTAAACAATATTTATTTAATAATACCAATAAACGTTATCAAAATTACCAAATTCGTAAATTTAACGATTCATTTATATTTCATTTCCACTATATAAAATTTATCCAAATGTTCCCAAATATCATTCAATCCAAAAAAACATAGTCAAGAAAAATAATCATTCCTAATAAACATAATCCAACAAATATATTTTACAATACATTTTATCCATTCAAAAAATAAATAACAAAAAATATATATAAAACAAATATCGTTTCTATATAATTTCGAGAATGCAACATAAATATATAAATTTATTTTCATTGTACAAATAAAATTCGATTACCTTATTTACAAAAGAAAAACTAATATATTTCATTTAATTTAATGACGTTTGAAATGATGCTGGCTCGCACAACCACTTTTGCGTTATTCGAAACGGCCTCCGCCTACAAGCTGCCCTATCAACTTTTTTGGTAACAATCGCCTTCCACAACAAAAATATATCAATCTTAAAACATGTGACGTGGATGACACTGTCCGCCTTCTCTTCTGTCCCTTTCCTGCAACTCTGTGTTACTCTTTTCCCTCCTGTTGGGTGTGTGTCTGCCCCTCAGCCGCCAAACCCTCTTCTTGTCTCTCCTTGCCCTTGACTCCTTTGTTTGTGTTTCTTCTCTTGCCTTCCTCTGGGTTTTCTGTGCCTCACGGTTGGAGGTGCTGCACGTGTTGCAGCATGCCGCTGCAGAGTCGGACAAATGATCAACCTGATGAAAGCAGTGGCTTTGCTATGTTGTTGTTCCGACCGGAGGGTTGGAAGCAGCTCCCTTCCAAAAGCGCAACACCTCAGCGCGCAATCCCACCCACAATGCAAGGCAATAACGGCACGATTCAGCTCTAGCAAGACATCGACAAAGCGAAGGCTAGCCTCACAAATCTTCCGAAGAGCTGCAGCAGCTGGCAGCACAGCAAAACGTTGACAGGCCAGCAAGTCTACCGAAAAATAGTGAGAGAGGGGTGGGTCCTTGGCGTGGCCAAGTTCCCTTGCCAGCATGGCCAAGCCCCTTGCCCTTGGTTTGTGCCATGCACACTGCGCAAAAGCAGTAGTCCCAAAAATAGTTTGCCTTCAGCAATCCAAAAAAAACATCTTTGGAATCGTTCTGTCCAGCCAAAACACGTTAACGCTAGTTTGAATCGTCCTGAAAAGTTGTGGTTGATCGGCCGAATCTGAAACCTGGAGTTGTGTCAGAAAATGCTCTGGCTCAATTGCTCAAACCCAAACCTGAAGTCTTTCGCCTTTCATTCAATCCTTTCTTTCTCGAAGCAGCCATGGGTTCAGCAACTTTGACTCGGAAGCTGCTTCGGAGCCCAATTGGCGTGATAGCACTGAGGCCGAAAGCATTCTTTGAAATTCCCTGGAGCCTTCCAAATCACAGGCTGAACCGTGAGCAAAAAATGGCGCAAAGCTGCGGGGAGTTTGATGTCAACTCAAACACAAAGCGTTGAGAGTAGCTGGTCTGTACAGTGCAATGGCGCACACGAGATGAGGCATCGCAGCCTACATGTATATGGCTCATATTAGGTTGGAAGCCATCGCTATTAAGGGCACCGCTACTAGTAGCAAGGACGCTAGAATCATTGTCCTCCGTTGAGCTTTGAGCGCTGATACATCTCTACGCTGCAGGTAGGTTCATTTCCCAGCTTGCCAAAAACCAAGCGCTTTCTCGGTTGAACCCAGCTGCAGCCTGCCGGACCAACCTACACTCTGAATGGACATGTCAATGCGACACACGGCATAGCCCACAGTTGAGTGCCTTACGACATCTTGATCATGCAACGACCAATCATGTGATCCAAAGCACTGTACCTGGGCGCTTCTTCTGTAAACTCACGCACGAATGCCATGACCATAACTGGGCTGTAGTTGAAACTCATGATCTAGACTGTAGAAGCTAATGAAAACAAGTTTCCCTAAAACGTCCGAGCGCTTCTTCAAGGAAGCTTCCTCGGCTTTCAGGCGGGGGGAGCTTCCTTGAAGAAGCGTGAGCTATCCTGCGTCGTCCTAGTGGCCAGGCAGCTAGTAGCTTCCTTCTCCCTTAAGTAAGTAGGCGCCTACTTGATTAGGGCTAAAAACAAAAACGAAAAAACATATGACATCGTTTCTGCTTCAGCCGAAGGACACTTGGATCCTGCCTTGATCCTGTGACCCTGACACCGGCTTCATAGGTAGACTCACTGGGTCACTCGATGGCGCCAAGATCCCGTTCGCTGCTATTCGGAACATTCTCCAACACGTGTCCTCCTTATCGGGTTCACGTGCCTCAGAATCACACTACTTGAAAATAATTGACGAAGACCGACAACGACGATCTAAGAATCTTCACAAATCTATCGGATGTCCCGTACTAAGAGTGTGTGGACCATCGCAGCAGTGCAAAGGCTTTGTGCCATGAGGGCTCACTATTGCGCAAACTTTATATGCCCCGGTGCGTCGATGTGTTTTTGGAATCGATGGCAAGAAGAATCTGTTAAAGCTATTCTTGCCTACCATGAAGCAATGAAGCGTCGGGCAAAACCGCAATCCTTACATGGCACCCAATCTAGCCTCCTCACTCGCACCGTCACGCGAAGGGTCTCGAGAGAGCTGTACACATTCAGCGCTGAGGTGAAAACACGCTCAAGACTTCAAGATCAAATGGCTCATTGAAAAATTGGGAAAATGTTTCAAAGGGATGCTTGCTCTTCTAGCCGGCCCGCTGCTAGGATTCCAATTAGCAAACTCATTCATCCAAGAAGCCTCCCGCGTGCAATTCACCACCTACCTAACCGGTGAGGGTTCCAGGGTGGCAAGTAGGAGCTTGCTTCCTGAAGTATGAACTAAACAATCAAATAGGACATTTGATGTGTTTGTTCTTCTCTGTCCTGCGTGTGAGTTAGCCACACCAACAGCAGAACCCCCATGTCACAAACTAATTTTTTAACGTAGCATAACCTTTCAGTTTCTAATGAAAATGAAACCTCCATGCGAACTTCCAACTTTAGCATCACCTTTGGAATAATCGTTCCAAGGAACCTGAAAGGTCACACTGAATTGAAAAGGGCCGCTGCCTCCTGTAAAGCGTTGGAAGCAGGGCGAAGCATTCAAGCTAACGCAAAAAACTCTTGGCGACTCCATTTTGTGGAAAAAGCGGCGCCGGCTATCTCTTGGAGGATGGAAGGGGCACGCATGCCTTCCGTGGAGGCACGCAACAGCAAATTAAAAAAACACGCTAAATCTTGGAGTGGTTGTGAGGCCATCGCTTCTAGGGTGGAGGCGATCACTTCTATGGTGGAGGCCATTGCTATTAGGGAGGCCATCGCAGCGAAAAAAAGTAAAATAAGGACCGGATAACCCCACATGTTAAGCTTGTAAGAACTACCAACGAGAAGTGGAGGCTGATAAGGAAACAGGACGGAAAGATTCTGGACGATAAAAGTGAATGAGATGAATGGTGTGTGATGAGTGGTGTGAGATGAGTGGTGTGTGATGAGTGGCGTGTGATGAGTGGTGTAAGATGAGTGGTCCATCAAGTCCTCTTGCAGGCTCTGTGTACTGCGCCTGCCACGAAATCTGCACTTAAGATGAATGGTATGTGATGAGTGGCGTCAGATGAGTGGACGTGATGAGTGGGATGTGATGAGTTGTGTAAGATGGGTTGGATGTGATGAGTCGTTGAAGATGAGTTGATGTGATCAGTCGGGGCGGGGGGCGGTCGCGGAGCGGCGGGTGCAGAGCCAAAAACAATAACCCCACACAGTGATGTGGGGAACAAAGCGCCCTTCAGCATTGAAACAAATCACGGCCCACACGCTTTCATGCCTCCAAAAATGCACTTGAGGCTGTTTCATGCTGCTTCGCCAGTCGTGCTTGCAGAGCACCTCCAGCAGGAAGCAACAACTTGTCTGAACCGCAGGACATGGTTGCACGGTAGAGATTAATGAGAAAAATATTTGATTTGAGAATAGGGAAGCGGAAAAAACAATGTCTCTGGAGAACTATTATCATCACACTGTGATGCTCCGGGCCCAAAGCCTCGGCGCACTGTGATGCTCCGGGGTCTGAGCATTCGCCAGCCGATGTGCCTATCAAGTCGCGCACTGGGATTTGGAATCCAACCGCAGGAACGGAAAAGCATTGAAGAACACGCTACATCCAATGATGTGATGAACTCATGCTTTGATCAAAGTGGCTTGGCCATTTCGGTTTTGGTGGTCCCGGACCTACAATGCATGGTGTTGAAGGCAAACAAGCGACTTGTTGGAAAAGGACAATCTTTAAAGGAAAACCAAAACCCAAGTAACAGTTCTAGGAGTCTCCAAGCGTCTCTTGATTGTTTGATTTCTGGCTGTGGTTCCTGTTTTCAAGGGGTCGAAAACCGAAGAAATTGAAAGAAAAAGGAAACTCACTGCGATAACTCTGCAAAAGCAAAGGCGAAAAACCGATCTCCGTCGAAGAATTTGATAAACCAGCAAGTTACGCTGCCTTTATGTGGTGGCAACAACGCAAGAAGAACTTGCGCTGAAAAATGTCAAAGTCCCCCAAATATCGTCAAACTTAAAGTCAGCTCACAACAAACCTGAAAGGAGAACCAAATCTAGACAGTTGAGCGCCAGATGTCGGCGATTTGGCATTGAGAAGGCTTTGCTGAAATGGACAAGAACACAGCGAACAACAAGGAACCCAAGTAGAGAGGACGAGAAAAACAAACGTGCAAATAGTGGCCAATGCACGCGAAGCAACAAACAAAACTCAAGAAGTGACACGCCAGCACGGAAACATCGAGGGCACGAAACTGGTGGTAGGGCAACCTTGAAGAAGAACAAACAAAACCATTGCAAAATCTGCAAAGCCAGCCGATTTAAGGCGTGATTTGAACACGGGGCGATCAACTTCTGGCATGGCCGCGTGTTTTCTCACTTCAGCTGTTGCAGAAAAAGAACTCGGTCCATGAGTCGCCACAAAGAACTTGGGTTGCCAAAGTGGATGGGCGTGCGGAAAAAAACACAACTGAAAAAACAAACCATTCGTGGGAAACGTGAGAAACCTGCATGTCATCACTGAACTGGGTGGGTGCGCCACTCAAAAATGTGATGCGAAACACATGAAGTACACAAGCATGATAATGACAGAGCCAAGAAAAAACACAGTACATGAATGTGAAATCAACAACTCCTGTGGCAAAACAGTTGAGCTTAGGCTTGGGTGGATGGTTTCCTCAACCCAGCACGGCTCAAAATATCTGAGTCGTAGAGCTTGCTTGTTTCCAAGTGTAGAAAAACATAAGCAAAAGGAAGAGCGAAAGGGAAACAACCAAAAGTCAGGCCCAAGGAAAAAGGAAACAAACAAAACGTCGCCGACGAATCCGAATGCAAACATACACGCGTGCGGCCTGGCCGAGCCCCAGGCCCCAGGACACTCTTGTGAGACATTCTTCTAGGGCACGCGTGGTGCGTCAAGCTTCCAAAGCGAATGCTTGTTCCTTCAGCAGCGAGCTTTTAGTGGGGCACCTCATCAGCCCCAAAAATCCGCGCCGTCCCGCCAAACGGTTTTGCAATCCAAGCCCCTCGAAAGAGCAGCCGCTGACACGCCAACCCCCACAGCGACAATCACCTGCGCCTGCCACAACAATGACTATGCCACACCTTGACGTGTCTGGCACATGATCTGCACCGCGCCACACATGGAATGATCTCAACACTTTCTGAGCACACTCACGCCAATCAGAATCGCAAACTTGCCTGACACTGAGACTTGTCACCGTGCAGCGGGATTCCAAAAACCACCCTGAGAAAACAACTCCCAGGAAGATGGTGACGCAAAGCTCTCCTCACAAAACACCACACCTGCGCAGCAAAATCATCCTTCATTCACACGTGTTAAGTTTCATACAAATCTGACACTTGGTGCTTCCAAGGCAAGCGCTTTCTCTTCGCACTAAGAACCTTTGCGAAGAAAGCAACGTCACGCCAACGAGGCTCCCCCCAAACCCCGAGTGTGTTTTGAACCCTTCGCCATGCCCCCTCGCCATGCGGAAAAACAAAGCAAAACAATGAAAGTTAAGAAGAAACTCAGAGCAATGGCCTCCAACTAACTACCTAGTAGAGGCCGCCTCCAAGCTGCTAGCAATGGCCCCCAACGCAAACAAACAGGCTTTCGTTTCTTGTCTAGATAAAACGCAAAACAGAAAGTGTCTGCTCAAGTGAGCGCTCGGCCTTCAATGACTCTTTCATCAGGCGGTCGAAATCCCACCACTTGGTGTACTGCGTCATGTTCGGCGGCGTGGGATCTGGCAACGTTGTCCTCGCAAACCTTGGCAAGCAACTGTTTTGGGCGACGCTTCCCTTCGTGATTGGTTCAACGTACTGTTGCCGGCTGTTGGAAGTTGCAGCTTGAATTTTAGCGTTTCCAATCTTCACGAAACATGCGAAACGGACGTGAAAATATACCCGTGATTCGACTCAGCCTTCGGACTTCTTGAGGGATCGGGGTTTTTGCGTCGTACTGACGGAGAGATGTTTCGGTTGCGCTGTGCTAGTTGAGCAGATCAACAAACAAGTGAAATCAAAGCGGGCTCAAGTGGCCATCCAACTGCACTGCTGACCTGCCTTTTTAAAAATCTCAAATTGGCAGCCAAGATGCCAACAGATTGCATCACTCTGAAAAGACCTGCCAAGCACGTGGAAATTCACTTCTTTCCATGCTGATGTCTCATACCTAGCCCAAGCCGGCGCCTCTCTTTAGTGCTTGGATTCCTGGCGCTCAAAAGCAAGTGAATGAGTGCGTGCTCCACGGAAAAACCTGTCAAACTCAAAGCCCCGTCTGCGCAAACATACCAAATCCACAACATCAATGGGCTAAGGCAGCTAAGGCTCCAGTACTCGACCTTGAACACGCGGGGGTCAAGCTTGGCAAGCGTAAAACCGCCTCTGCGCAAGCAGTGCAGGATGGCGTTGAACTGCGTCCATCCACTTCCATCGGGATGCTCTTTCCGAAGAAGGATCACAGAAATCTCCACCGCCAGCAGCCGCACTTTGTTCCAATGCCACTCGGTGGCCAGAATCTTCCTTAAAAACATTGTGAATGAACAGGAGTTCTTTCACTGTAATTTGCGCAGACAAAAATGTTTCCCGAGGACTTTGGCAACTTGAGCCTGTTTGCGAGGCCGAAGCTCAACTCGGATCCTTCGCAGTCCATTTTTACCTGAGCAGCGCAGCAAGCATGTCTCTGAAGCAAAACTTGTTCAGCCCCTTTTGGATTTGATCATTGTTCCCGAGAGCGTCTGCGAAGTGCTTTTCGTAAAAAGCATCTGTAGAACTACGTCTCATCTACATCTTCACATCTGCACATGTTCACATCTTCACATCTACATTTTCACATCTTCACATCTGCGCATCTTCACATCTGTACATCTACATCTTCACATCTTCACATCTTCACATCTGCAGATCCTCTCGCTCTTCTTGTCTTTCTCTCTTAAGGCGGGGGCGGCGCCGCCGGAGCAACGCGAAACGCAACCCTCTGTGGAGATCGTGCGTGTCGAGGGCGGGAAACGCAGGTGAGATTGCGTTTTGGATTTGTCCCGCGCAACCCTCTGCGGAGATCGTGCGCATTAAGGGCGCGAAATGCAGGTGAGATTGCGTTTTGGATTGGTCGCTCTTCACTTTTGGAGGAAGTTTCGTACGAAACGCTCGCTTTGGAGACTTGGCGCTTCACTTTTGGAGGAGGAAGTCTCGCACGAAACGCTCGCTTTGGAGACTTGGCGCTTCACTTTTGGAGGAGGTCTCGTACGAAACCTTGTTTTGGAGACTTGGCACTTCACTTTTGGAGGAGGTCTCGTACGAAACGCTGGTTTTGGAGACTTGGCACTTCACTTTTGGAGGAAGTCTCGTGCGAAACGCTCATTTTGGAGACTTGGCGCTTCACTTGTGGAGCTGGACTCAGACCTGGCCAGTTTGTAGTGCAAATGTAGTGCGGGAAAGAGCTTTTTGGAGCTGGACTCAGAAGTGGCCAGTTTGTAGTACAAATGTAGTGCGGGAGACAGCGTTGCGGAGCTGGACTCAGAAGTGTTTGCTTCTAGTGTGATATGATTGCTTCTAGTGTGTGGGCAGAACGTGTGGCGAATTACGTTCGTGATGTCGCAGCGCCA